GGAGCACCAGCAGCAGTAAGTGTTTTCATTGTTTTTATTTAGCTGTTATCGCCTTGCTTGATGAGTGTTTATGTAAGCATTTAAAGAAAATGAAAAGTTGATTGTGTGCAGATGCTCTTGTCGATTTGATATTGCATTTGGAAGGTGTTTAAAATGCAATTGCTAGAGATTTGCATCATAACATGTGCATCATTTGCTCCTCGTTTATTGCATTAATCACTTAAAACTTCAAAAATTCCCAATGCATCCATTGATTCTTTGTCTAATAGATATATATATATAAAGTTAAAAACAAAATTATTTGCACTCCTAAGAAATTTGTCATCTCTTTTAATGTTCCCCAAGTGCTGTTTAACATTTCTTTTTACAGTGTTTCCTCTTATATTTTTTTCTGAAAAAAGTCTTGTTTATTTTAGCTTGGCTGAAATAATGATTTAAAAAATGTTTAAAAATTGCTAAATCTGTTAAGGTGAATATTATCATCAGCCCTTAAGAGATTTATTTTAATCGGCAGGCTACAAAACAAACATGGCAAAAGCAAATGAAAGGAGGGGTAATTATATACACTCACCGGTCACTTTATTAGGTACACCTTACTAGTACCCTTTTGCCTTCAGAACTGCCTTAATCTTTCATGGCAGAGGTTCAACAAGGTACTGGAAATATTTCTCAGAGATTTTGCTCCATATTGACTTGATAGCATCCTGCAATTGCTGCAGAAAGGTGCTCTATTGGATTGAGCTCTGGTGACTGTGAAGGCCATTTGAGTACAGTGAACTCATTGTCATGTTCAAGAAAGCAGTCTGAGATGATTTGCGCTTTATGACATGGTGTGTTATCCTGCTGGAAGTAGATGGACATGGTCAGCAACAATACTCAGGTAGGCTGTGGTGTTGACATGATGCTCAATTGGTAATAATGGGCACAAAGTGTGGCAAGAAAATATCCTCCACACCACTACACCACCAGCCTGAACCGTTGATACAAGGTAGGATAGTTGACGCCAAATTCTGACCTGACCATCCGATTTGAGTTACTGTTGCCTTTCTATCAGCTGGAACCAGTCTGGCCATTCTCCTCTGACCTCTGGCATCAACAAGGCATTTGCACCCACAGAACTGTCGCTCACTGGATATTTTCTCTTTTCAGACCATTCTCTGTAAACCCTAGAGATGGTTGTACGTGAAAATCCCAGTAGATCAGCAGTTTCTGAAATACTCAGAACAGCCCGTCTGGCACCAACAACCATGCCACGTTCAAAGTCACTTAAATCCCCTTTCTTCCCCATTCTGATGCTCGGTTTGAACTGCAGCAGATCGTCTTGATCATGTCTACATGCCTAAACGCATTAAGCTGCTGCCATCTGATTGGCTGATTAGAAATTTGTGTTAACGAGCAGTTGGACAGGTGTACCTAATAAAGTGGCCGTTGAGTGTATATAATATACATAACTTGTGAGTAAATGCGAGCTATAATTTGCCACAAGGATCTGAAGGCAGCACAATCTATATCAGCTAATATAACAGTACAGCAGTTTCATGGCTGGAAGAGAAATAATTATGTTCAAAAGACACAAAAACTTCTGCCCTGATGGTGTTCATTAACACACACACACACACACACACACACACACACACACACACACACACACACACACACACACACACACACACACACACACACACACACACACACACACACACACACACACACACACACACACACACACACACATAGAAACCATTTATAGTCAAACCCCTCTTAAAGGGACAGTTCACCCAAAAATGAACATTTACAATTCACTCTCCTTCAAGACACTGAATATGTAGGTAACTTATTCTTCTTCAGTCGAACATTAAAGAGGTTTTTGAGCTGAATCTGTGCCCAATTTATATAATGCAGGTCAATAGTTACCCGTTTTTGAGATTAAAAATAAACATTAATTTAATGTGGTCTCTCCACACCACCATCAGTGTGCAGCAGCCACTTGGATGATGCGACGGCAGCCACAAGACAGCGACGCCAGTGCGCTCACCACACACCAGCTATAGGTGGAGTGAGACAGTGATAGAACCAATTCGGTGGATGGGGATGATTGGGAGGCCATGATGGGTAAGGTCTGATGGAGGGAATTTGGCCAGGACACTGGGGTTACACCCTTACTCTTTATGAGACGAGCCATGGAAGTGCCACCTCGGTTTAACATCTCATCCCAAAGACGGTGTCCACTGACAGTATAGAGTCCCCTTCACTATACTGGGGGATTAGGACTCACACAGACTGCAGTTTGGGCGCCCCCTGCTGGTCTCACTAACACCACTTCCAACAGCAACCTAGTGTTCCATGTGGTTTCTCATTCAGGTACTGACCAGGCTCAGCATTGCTTATCTTCAGTGATCTTCCCTGCTGAAAAATCCAGCTTAAACCAGCCTAGGCTGGTCAAGCTGGTTTTAGCTGGTTTTAGCTGGTCATCTCCCAGCCTGACCAGCTAAGACCAGGCTGGTTTTAGAGGGGTTTTGGCCATTTCCAGGCTGGTTTCCAGCCATTTCCAGCCTGGTCTTAGCTGGTCAGGCTGGGAGATGACCAGCTAAAACCAGCTAAAACCAGCTTGACCAGCCTGGTTTAAGCTGGACATAGCTGGTTTTGGCTGGGCTCCCAGCCTGGCTAGGCTGGTCAAGCTGGATTTAGCTTGGTCATTTTCCAGACTGACCAGCTAAGACCAGGCTGGAAATTACTGGAAACCAGCCTGGAAATGGCCAAAACCCCTCTAAAACCAGGCTGGTAAACCAGCTAAAACCAGCCAACCAGCCTAGGTTGGTTTAAGCTGGATTTTTCAGCAGGGTTGAGCAGCAAGATAATATGACTGTGGTGATATTAAAGCTAATAATATTGTAAATAATGTTCAATTTCTTACACAGACCAGCTGATTTGCTTCACAAGACCTCAGTTTGGATTCATATGTACGTGTTTGTTGCAAGTGTGCCGCAAGCCTACGTTTGAGTGAAGGTTTCGGCCGTTAGATCGCCCCCTGGGGGCTGGCTGCAGTACAAGTCATAAAGCCCGCCTCCTCCGTGTTAATGAAGGAGACTTGAGCCCAAATAAAAAAAAATATTACACTTGCAATAAAATGTCCCGAAAGATAGTTCTGGTCGATTAAGGCACTGGTTATTGTGCTGAAACAGGTGCAGATCTTCATTATTGTAAACAGTTTGTTTTTAGCAGTAATTTAATGCTGGGCGTGTCATCGTGATTGACAGCTGTGATTGACAGTTTCTCAAAGCAGCGCGTCTGAGCTTCGGCAGGAGACTGAAGTAGACTGAAATGTTATTATTCCATTTCTGTGTTATTTTACCATGACAAAATGAGTTCAGCAGTAAACTATAGTTTCTGACATACATGATCCTGGTGGAACACTGTTTATTCGCTAAGTTCAGGGCTTTTTTAGCGCTTAATTAGTTTGCTGATACACGCTTAGCCACCCAGATAGCAAAACACAGTTCCGGCTAGATTCTTGCCAGCCGGAGACTTATCTCTTAGAGCTCAGACTGACTAATGTTACCTCTGCTGGACCTACTCCGGATGCCTGGACTCACTACCCAATTCCAGCCCGAGTCAATCGAGCCAGATGCGGCGGCCGAGCGAGCAGGCGCTGCCGCATGCGAGCCGGAATCAGCCCGCGACGCCGCGAGTAAGTTATGTGTTGCGGCCTGGAGCTGGCGCGATTGAATATATAAAACCCTCATATTTGTTAACGTTATTACATCCATTTGTGTTGATATGACAGCAAACGCATGCTGAGAAGTTCGGGGGGCGTGGTTGATTTTACATAAAGCGTTTAATTGGAAGCTCGACTCCGCTCATTTTCGCGGCTCCTCCTCTGGCTCCATCAGACAGTCCTTCTGCGCATGTCTGGCTCCAATTTCAGCAGTCTTTTGCGACAGTTTGTGCCCGTCAAGAAGGCGTTTTGCCCTCAAGGCGTTCAGTGGGAAAAAGGGCTGTCGCGTCGTCCATATTTTTTACAGTCATTGGTTTGTTGATAATCTAAAAAAGCGGTCACTATTCACTGCCATTATATCAATCACCAATGACCAGATTCAGCTCAGAATCTGCTTTAATGTTCGACTGAAGGAAAACAAGGTCAACTGAGAGACCTTTTAAAGTTTTGGATGAACTATCGCTATATAATAATATTAACAAACATAAAACATTTAGACTTCTAGAAAAATAAAGATGAGCAGCTATATCATCAATGTTCACTGTTGGCACTTCTGTAAATCAAGATTGGTGCATCGCAGCAGCAGAAATCCAGCATTATACACCAGAGACCCCAAAACACAAGACAATACATGTTATTTCAACCCAATGTTGGGTTAATTTATGGACAAACACCAACCGAGGGGTTCATTTATTGTATTAAAGTTATAAGTCCAATTTTAACTCTTTTAATTGGCTGTTTTGACAAGATCTACAATGTAAAAAGTGTTATAGAAATAAGGATGAAGATAATAAAAAGATTAATAAAGACTGAACTGAATTACCCCAGTGTTTAGGTTTGTCCATATTTTATCTAATTTAGGCTGAAGTAACTAAAAAAGGGTGACATTCATTCATTATCCCTTATTTATCAGGGGTTGCCACAGCGGAATGAACTGCCAAATATTCCAGAATACGTTTCATGCAGCAGATGACCTTCAAGCTGCAACCCAGTACTGGGAAACCATACACACTTATTCACGCACACACTCATACACTACGGCCAAGTTGGTTAATCCAACTCACCTATAGTCATACCTGCCAACACTCCCGTTTTTCCCAGGAGTCTCCCGTATTTGATCTCCCGCCACCCTCCCGTTTTTGTTATTTCTCCTTGAAAACTCCTGTAATTTCTCCCAGATTTTTAGAGACAAATGTTGGCAGGTATGCCTATAGTGCATGTGTAGACTGTGGGGGAAACCGGAACACCCTTGGAAACCCACGCCAACATGGGGAGAACATGCAAACTCCACACAGAAATGCCAACTGCATCAGCCAGGACTCAAACCAGCGATCTTCTTGCTGTGAAGAGACAGTGCTAACCACTGAGCCACCGTGCCGCCCTATGTTTTTCAGTTCAGTTCGATTTTTGAGTGAGCTATCGCTTCAAATTCAAGTGTGTATCAGCAGATGATGCGCGCCGCTGCTCTGTGCACCTGAGCTTGAACAGGTCCATAATGAACTCGCTCTCCGTCCACCGTCAGCACCCCGTCTGCACTCAGCGGCTCTAATCTAATGGCCTGTGCGCGCACGTACACCAAATGTGCACATCCACAGTCCAAATGCGTCCCGCTCTGCATGGCGCGAAAGAGGCGTAGCAGTGTAGCACGCGAAACTCCTGCAGTCAAGTAAAATAGGTGAATAATCCCGTCATCAGCACGTGCTCCTGGAGCCGCCATCAGATCCTCACTCAGGTGCGACTGAAACATCGCAAGTACCAGAACAAACTCGCGCTCCTCTACAAGTGTCCAATTCTGCGGTACAGGCTGCCCGAATGGCGCCATCAGGTGGTCATTCAGGAGATTTTCACCTGTGGAAGACACAGAGTCTGTTTCTCCAGCAGGTAAATAGGCCAGTTTACCTTGATATATCCGCAGTGATGCCAGACGCACAAGTGTGCCAAGGATAAACCGCAGCGCGCCGATCTGCCGGAATGTCTCACTCTCGATGTCCACGTCCGCCACGAAACCCCAGGCCAGAGAGAGAAAGGAGAACAGGCGAGCGCCGGATGACAGCTGAACGGAGATCAGGTCTAGACCCGAAACCAGACCTTTACACAGCAGAAACCCGCAGCTGGTCAGCAGATCCTCACCCCACACCGGAGACGCACTGGAGAACAGAAACACATTAATCATTAATCATATTTGTACATATAAATCTTATGCTGCGTTCACGCCAGACGCGGAACGCGCGATATTCGCGTAAATAGCCACGTGAACATTTGAGTTTACTCGCTCTGATCAAGCGTCAAACCCCACTTCATTCGCGCGTCAAATTCACTTCAGAACAGACGTGGATTCGCGTGATGGGCAGGGCTTCTGTCTGCCCGGTGACTCTAGCTTCATAGCTTAATGGCTAACATGGATTTTATTGAGAAAATAACAGTGTTTATGTGCTTTATGACGACTGACAAACAACGCGATACGTTTAGAGCCGTGTCTGAGTCCACTAGATTCTTTCAGATGTGTATCCAGCTCTGTGAGCTCATAAACTCCTCCAGAAACTGAACCTGGATGATGGAGGCTTTCAGCGGAGCTTCTGACAGATCCCAGCCCAGTTTGATGAACTTTTTGCTGGTGTCGGCTGGAGGATTTCCCCCGGGACTCCAACAACAGGTGTACGTCACAATCACGCCCCCACAAGAGCAAGCTACTGATTGGTTAACGCGGCGCAAATGTCCGCTGAAGATCAGATTTTTGAAATCAAGCAATTCGCGCGAAACGTGCGTCAAACGCGCAAAACAATCAATTTGCGCAGCGCCATTCACGCAATTCGTGTCATTCGCGCGTTTTGCATCGCAGGATGTCTATTCGCTCGTTTGCATTGACTTAACATGTAAATCACTCGCGCTTGACGCACGTTCCCCGTCTGGTGTGAACGCAGCATTATGAACACTCTTGAGATGGCTCGTATCACATCTAAAGGCTCATAAACACCGGGACATTTTTTGCTCACGTTTTTCGCCAGTGTTTTTCTGTATTCCAAACCAAGGAGCAAAGTGAACATGCAAAAACACCCCTTGACGTTAGACAGCACTTAATAAACTTGTGAAAAGGTAAATGAAACTCATCATCGAACCCTATTTGACATTACTCTAGTTGCTCTTGTGTTTATCATACAGCTCAGTTCAGACAGCATTGATTAAAGCAGCTTCACATTCATCAGTGCATCAGCTTCATTGAATGAAAGTGAAACTAGGATTGCCTCTATTGTTTTGCTCTTAAGTGCCCTCCAATTGGTGTTTACACTTCAGCAGCTCCGGGCATGTGAACAAAAGTGCCAATCTGATTGGTTAAGTTTTTAAGGCAGCTCATCAAAACAAAAAAACAAACATGAGTTTTTTTAATGTTTTTTTTTTCCTGGGTTTACATTTAAAAGCAGAGAGAGGGGAAGGATCGACAAAGACCACGAGGCGAGAATCGAACTCTGGTAGCCATGAACACCGAAGTGCATATGTCGACGCACTAACCACTACACCACTGGCGCCGATGAGTTGTTGTTTTTTGCAATCAAATTGGCACACTTTGTTTAGTCACAAGGCGTTAAATGTTGACGAAGAAGAGTGAGCACAAAGCCTCCTGGTGTGATCGGGGCTTAACACTAAAAACTGCGACTGATCCATATGCTACACTGAACAAAAACAGAGACAATTCATAAGAGAGCAGCGTATAATTGACGGCGCACAACAAAATTCATACAAGAGCATTGTATAATTAAGAGCGCATGAGAAAATTCGTTAGAGAGCAGCGTATGATTGAGAGCGTTCAAGAAAGTTCGTAACAGAGCAGCGTGTTTTCTCAAGCGTGTGCGAGAAAATTTATAAGATAGCAGCGTATAAATGAGAGGGTGCAAGAAAATTTGTTAGAAAACATCATTTAATTGAGTGCGCAATAAAATTCGTAAGAAAGCAGTGTATGATTGAGTGCACAAGGAAATGTGTAAAAGACCAGTGTATAACTGGAACCGTACAAGAAAATTTGTAAGAGAGCTGCGTATAATTTAAAGCATGTGAAAAAAATTGTACGAGAGCAAAGTATAATTGAATGCACAAGAAATTTCGTAACAGACCAGCATATAATTGAGAGTGCACAAGGAAATTCGTAAGAGATCAGCAAATAATTGAATGTGCAAGAAAATTCGTAAGAGAGCAGCGTATAATTGAATGCACAAGAAAATTCGTAGGAGAGCAGCATATAATTGAGAGTGCACAAGAAAATTGGTAAGAGAGCAGCAAATAATTGAATGTGTAAGAAAATTCGTAAGAGAGCGGCATATAATCGAATGCACAAGAAAATTCGTAAGAGAGTAGCGTATAATTGAATGCACAAGAAAATTCGTAAGAGCAGCGTATAATTGAATGCACAAAGAAAATTCGTAAAAGCAGCGTATAATTGAAAGCGCAAGAAAATTTGTAAAAGAAACGTTTAATTGAGTGCACAAGAGAATTAATAAGATAGCAGCATATATTTGAGAACTCGCAAAAAAATTTATATATACGAGTATGCGACAATATTTGTAAGAGAGCAGCATGTAATTGAATGCACAAGAACATTCGTAAGAGACCAGCGCATAACTGAATCCCTGAGAAAATTCGTAAGAGCGGAACGTATAATTAATTGCACGAGAAAATTTGTTAAAGAGCAACGAATAATTGAATGCCTAAGTAAATTTGTAAGAGAGCAATGTATAATTAAATGCACAAGAAAATTCGTAAGAGAGCAGTGCATAACTGAATGCCTGAGAAAATTCGTAAGAGCGCAATCTATAATTGAGTGCGCAAAAAAATTCGTAAGAGAGCAACGTATAACTGCTAGTCAAACGAACTCTCAACAAAACAACAAAAACAGAAGCAAAACATGCATTAAATTTAGCTTTTTCAAACATCTTGCAACCGTTCAACTCAAAGTTTAACCAATGTATGATCAAATGCACTTAGCTTATCATTTAATATCATTACATTTTTGGTGTCTGCATAATAGTCTATGTTCTTCAAGACCTCTGGTTCTGAAGTCCTAAACCGTAAACAATAATAATTATATAAATATTATATTAAAGCTTCAGTTTTAGTCATTTCATACGCTTCTTTTAGTGCAGTTGGTTGCCCAACCAGCATTTCGGATCTTTATTTAAAGTTTTAAGTGTTTCATCTGATATTTATATATCATAAATAGGATTTTTAAGTGTGCATAGTGCAGTAGAGTAGGCTATTGGAGTATGCTAGCCTACATCTGTTTCTGAACACACCCAAATCCTAAATGAGCAACCACACGATCATTAAAACACATTCAAGCGTTCTCTACTCAAGTAAATGTTTGCTTTATTTACTTAAATGGCAAAATTAATCCCCACAAAGCGTTTTAAAAGCTTCTTTAACTCATTTCAGTCCAAAACCTAAACCATTAGGCCTACATTTAGTAAACAAACCGACGGTAGCGTTGTATTTTTTCACATTTCAGTTAAATATTTTTAACCTTTAAAAAGACCTGTTGAGTCATTTTAACTGCTGAGGAAAGTTGCAGTTAAAATCTGCAGTTTTTAATGTATTTTATGTATTAATTTTCAGTTTAGTCGCGCTGTGAACTGATCCCAAGTACACCCGTCTGCAGCCCGCAGATCGGGGCGGGGCTGAATACGGGGCGGAGCTGAATGTGCAGCCCTAAACTAAACAGGACTAAACATGTCACTCCGCCTACAAGTCTTTCATTGGTTCACGGAAACAGACGTTGATGTAATGTATGCTTTCGATTCCGGTTTTCATCTCTGCATGGTAAGTACACATCTTCTGTCATGTAAATGGTCAAATTATAGTGCAGTACACCTCACGTATTATGTGTCATTTATTTAATTAAAGGCCTTTAAGGAGATATGAAGTTTTAAAGCCTTAAAAAAAATGTTTTCTGTGTTAGGGTTGGCGTTTTCCAGGTTGATCGTACAGTTGGTGGTTTTATTCACTTAGAAGAATAATGTAAACTTTAAAGAGTTTTGAGCAAAACAGTCCATCACATGAAGTTTATTAATATCAAAGATAACAAAATATATTTTTCTTTGTGGCATGTTCTCTAATTTATGGTAATGTTAATGATATATGTACAATATAAAACTTGATTCTTAACTTACTGATCTATACTACATTCTGTTTGCAGATCATTGGCATTGATATATATAGTCATCACTATGATTCCTTAGGAGCATATTCTCTGTTTTATTTTATTTTACCTCAGTTCTTTCTCTCTTTTTGTTTTAATAGATTTGTGCATTTAATAATTTTTATTTTTATTTACACTTCATGTTCTCTTTTTTTTACATTTACATTTACATTTAGTCATTTAGCAGACGCTTTTATCCAAAGCGACTTACAAATGAGGACAAGGAAGCAATTTACACCACTAAGAGCAACAATGAATAAGTACTAAAGGCAAGTTTCAGGTCTGTAAAGTCTAAGAAGGGAAGTGTTAGTAATTTTTTTTTTTTTTGTACAGTTAGTGTGATATTCAAATAGGCAATTGCAGATTAGGAAGTGAAGTGGAGACTAAATAGTTGAGTTTTTAGTCGTTTCTTGAAAGACTGTTTACTTTATAACCCATGTTTACTTTACTTTATAACTTTATAACTTTATAACTTTACTTTATAACTTTACTTTACTTTATAACTGTTATAACTGTTTACTTTATAACTGTTTACTTTATAACCCTTTATAACAAAGTTTTTGTTTACTTTATAACCCATGCATGAAACTTATGCAAAGGGGAATGTGGAGGGGGCATGCCTGGTACAAACATATTTAATTCTTTGAGTTTAACTTTAATATACTGTATGTTAAGCGACATGTTGATGATTGTTGGTTATTTTGTACAGATGCCGCCTGAGATCCTGCAGTGGATCCTACTGAGAGTTGTCACACAGGATGGTGATGGGACATTTCTGCAACTCTCACTGACATCCAGGACCTTCTGAGCCCATGTCGTTTATTCATTTTCTTGTCGGTTTTGTCCCTTTAATAATCCGGAGTCACAACAGCGGAATGGACCGCCAACTTATCCAGCAGGTTTTTAGGCAGCGGACGCCCTTCCAGCTGCAACCCATCTCTGGGAAACATCCACACACACATT